GCATAAAACCTTTTCCTACTGATTGATTGTGATTAATTGTGGTTAATTAGTTAAAATGTGATATTATTGACACTGTCTTGCTTAAATTTTCTCAGTGGTTTTCTATTGTTCAAACACTGTATTAAAAATAATTCTTTCTTTTAGAGCTTTATTAAAATGCACTTGACAAACAATAGACATCTTTAAAATGTACAATTTGATAAGCTTTGACATATGCAAATACCTGGGAAACCATCATAAAAATTAATGTAAGGAACTTACACATCACCTCCAAAAGTTTTACTGTGGCCTGCTATTTATTTATTTATTTATTTAAATGTCAAATTTTATTTTAGATACAGGCAGAACATGTGCAGATTTGTTACATGGGAATATTGCCTAATACTGAGGTTTATACTGAGGTTTGAAGTACAGATTCTGTCACCCAGGTACAGAAGATAGTACCCAATAGGTAGTTTTTCAAAACACATTCCCTTCTCTCTCTCCCCCTTCTGGTAGTTCACAATGTCTATTGTTCCATTGTTTATATCCACATATGCTCAATGTTTAGTTACCACATTTCAGTGAGAACATGCGATATTTGGTTTTCTGTTCCTGGATTAATTTGCTTAGGATTATGGCCTCCAACTGCATCCATTTTGCTGCAAAGAACATAATTTCAGTCTTTCTTATGCCTGCACACCATTCCATAGTGTATATGTACCATATTTTCTTGATCCAATCTACCATTGATGGGTACCTGGATTGATTCCATGTCTTTGCTATTGCGAATAGCCTTGTGGCCTTTTATAATTCCATCCTTCTCTCCATGCTGTTCTCAGACAAACACTGATAGAGTGCTTCTTCTATTACTATAGATTTCTTTGCATTTCCTAGAATTTAATATAATGCAATTATAAAGTATGTACTCTTTTTTGTTTCTTTACTTTTATTCATCATATTATTTTGAGATTTATCTATGTTATTTTAAATTTTATAGGTCATTCTTTTTATTGCGGACCAATTTTCCTTTGTGTGAATATACCACAATTTCATCATTTGTTCACTCATTAATAGGCAATTGGATTTTTTCCAAGTTTTGACTATTACAAATAAAGTTGGTATGAAAATTTGTGTCTTTGTGTGGACCTGTGCCTTTGTTCTTTTTTTTTTTTTCCTTTTTCTTTTTCTTTTTTTTTTTTGAGATGGAGTCCCTCTCTGTCACTCAGGCTGGAGTGTAATGGCACAATCTCGGCTCACCACAACCTCCCAGGTTCAAGCAGCTCTGCCTCAGCCTCCAGAGCAACTGGGAACCACCATGCACCACCAAGGCAAGGTTGAGGTTTATTATTGTTATTTTGCATATGGTTAGCTAATTGCTCCAGAACCATTTACTGAAAAACTATTCTTTCCCAAGTGAGCTGCCTTTTCAGCTTTGTTGAAAGTCAGTTGTTCAAATATGTGTGGATCTACTTTTGGATTTTCTATTCTGCTCAAAATTTTTTGACCTAAAATTGTTTATAATATTCCTTTAACATTCTTTTAATACCTGTAGATTTTGTAGCAGTACCTTCTCTCTCATTCCTAGTATGAGTAATTTATGTTTTCTCTCTTTTTCCTGATTAGTCTGCTAACACCTTATGAATTTTTTTTTTAAATTGGTTTTATGTTCTCCATTTCACTAATTTTTCCTCTGATATTTATCACCTTCTTTCTTTAGCTTAATTTTAAGCTTAATTTGCTCTTCTTTTTCTAGTTTATAAGGTGAAATCTGAGGTCATTGATTTGAGAACTTTCATTTTCTACTGGCAAATTCAAAAGGACTCCACTAAATCACTCCTATTTAGTGATTCACTGGAAGGACTCAAAGAATTCAAGAAGTCCACCATACTCACAGTTTATTAGAGTGGAAATACAGATTAAAGACAGCGAAGGGAAGGGGCTCATAGAGCAGAGTTCAAGAGAGCCTAGGCATGCAGCTTCCAGTTGTGCCCAGTAGAGTTGTGCAAACAGCATTTCTTTCTCTCAGCAATGAGGTGTCACAGTAATGTATCACAGCATGCATAAAGTATTGACTTTCTTTTTTCTCAATATTACTTTAGTTATTGGTGGTTTCATACAAATCTTGAATTTTTAAAACTGGAGTCATTCACCTGAGCTTTGTGTCCAGAGTTTTTATTGGAGGTTTGCCCAGAGATTTTTACAGGGGTTTGGACACATTAGTACACTGTGTAGCCTAAGGTCCCTACCATAAATCATTGTTAGCATAGACTATCTGGTATGGTCCAAACCCCCCCAGATAAACAAAGTTATTTTAATCAGGCAGGGCATTCCAAGGGTTTAAAAGTTATGATCCAAAATCTGGGGAAAAGGGAGGACCAAAATTTCTTTGGGCAAAGTTAATCCTTTACTGTACACTAATGTAAGTATTTTAGTGCTGTAAGTTCTCCTCTGTGTACTGAATTAGCTGCATTTCAAAAATGTTTGATATAGTGCATTTTTATCCTTATTTACTACAAAATACTCTATAATTCCTCCTTCGATTTATTCTTTGACCCATAGGTAGTTTATATACATGTATTTAGTTTCCAAGTATTTAGAGATTTTCCAGATTTTTCTACTATTAATTTCTAATATAATCCCACTGGAGAGAGATAATGTAACTTGTACTACTTGATTCTTTTTTATATTAAAATCCAAAGTGAAAGAGAAGACATTACAACTGATACCACAGAAATACAAAGAATTGTGAGACTACTATGAACAATTATACACCAACAAATTGGAGAACCTAGAAGAAGTTGATAAATTCATAGACACAGACAACCTACTAAGACTGAATCATGAAGAAAAAAATCTGAACAGATCAATGATTGAGGAGATTAAATTAGTAATAAAATTTTTCCCATCAAATAATAGCCAAGGACCTGATGGCTTCACTGCCAGATTCTATCAAACATTTAAAGAAGAAATTATGCTAATCGTTCTTAAATGTTTCCAATTTATTGGAGAAAAGGGAGTCCTTTTAAACTCATTTTGTGAAGCCAGAATTACCTGATACCAAAACCAGACAGGGATACTACAAGAAAAGAAAATTACAGGACAGTATTTCTGATGAATATAGTTGTTAAAATTCTCAACACAATACCAGCAAACTGAATTTGACATCACATTAAAATGATCATACATTATGATCAAGTGGGATTTATCACTGGGATGCAAGCATGGTTCAACATATACAAATCAATAACTACAACACACCATATTAACATAGTGAAGAACAAAAACCATATAATCATCTCAATGGATGCAGAAAAAACATTTGACAATATTCAACATATTTTCATGACAAAAACTCTCAACAAATTGGGTATAAATGAAATATACTTTAACACCATAAATGTAGTACATTTATTGTAAAAAGTTGAAAGCCTTTTCTCTAAGATCAAGATCAAGACAAATATGCCACCTTGTTACTTTTATTCTACATAGTACTGGAATTCCTAGTTAGAGCAATTATTAAAGAAAAAGAAATAAAAGGTGTCTAAATTAGAACAAAAGTAAAACTATCTTTGTTTGTAGATCATATGATCTTAAATTATATAAAACCCTAAAGACTCTAGCAAAAACCTATTAGAACTAATGAACAAATTTATTAAAGTTGCAAAATACAAATCAACATACCAAAATCAATTCTATTTATATACACTAACAATAAACTATGTAAAAGAGAAACTTAGAAAATGATCCTATTTACAAACATCAAAAGGAATAAAACACCTTAGAATAAATTTAACCAAGGAGGTGAAAGATCTGTACACTAAAATCTGTAAAACATTGATGAAAGAAATTGAAGAAGATACAAATACATGGAAATCTATCCTATCTTCATAGATCAGAAGGGTCAATATTGTGAAAATGTCCACACCACCCAAAGTCATCTATAGATTGAATGCAATCTCTTTGAAATTTCCAGTTGTATTTTCACAGATTAAATATTGCTTTAGATAGCTAAAGCAATATTAAGAAGAATGAATAAAGCTGAGGGCATCACATTTTCCAGTCTGAAGTTATATTACAAAGCTATAGTAATCAAAACAGTATGGTATTGGCTTAAAATCAGACATATAGCATAAAGGAACCGAACAGAAAGCCCAGAAATAAACCTACACATATATGGTCAACAAGCATATATGTATGCTTGACAAAAGCACCAAGAGTACACAATGGGGAAAGGGTAGCCTCTTCAATAAATGGTGCTGGGGAAATTGAATATTCATATCCAAAAAAATAAAATAAACTGAACCCTTATGTTACACTATATACAAAAAATCAACTTTAAATGGATTAAATATTTAAATGTAAGATCTGAAACTTTTAGAAGAAAACATTAAAAAAAAGCTTCATGACATTGGTCTTGGCAATTTTTTTTGATGTAACAACAGAAGAACAGATAACAAAAGTAAAAATAAACAAATGGTAATACATCAAACTAAAAAAGCTTCTGCATGACAAAACTAACAATCAACAAAATGAAAAAGCAAACCATGAAATGGGAGAAAATTTTGTAAACCATATGTCTGATAAAAGGTTAATATCCATTTAAAAAAATGGGCAAAGAGCCTGTTTCCAAAGAATATATGTGTTTTCATTTTTTCACTTTTCCAAAGAAGATAATCAGGTATATGAAAAGGTGCTGAACATCACTAATCACCCTTTTTGATTATTCAACATTTTTCTAAAGTAGAAACTCAAATGGCCAACAGGGATATGAAAAGGTATTCAATATCAGTAATCATTAGAGAAATGAAAATCAAAACCACAATAAAATATTACCTCACATTTGTTAGGCTGGTCATTATCAAAAAGACAGTATTTTTCTTTCAGTATTTTAAAGATGTTGCTTTACTGAGTTCTCACTTGCTTTGTCTTCACCAAAAAATCTTCTGTCATCTTTATCTTATTCTACCGTACAAAACATGTTTTTATCCTGTGGCTGCTTTTAAGATTTTTCTCTTTAACACTAATTTTCAGAAATCTGATTATTATAGTCTTTGGTACATTTTGTGTATGTGTGCTTGAGTTTTGTCAAGCTTCTTGGATATATGAGGTTTGAGTTTTATTGAATTCAGAAAGTTTTCAGTCATGATTTCCTCTAATAATTTTTTCTTTCTTGCCATCTTGCTTCTCTTCTTTTAAAACCAGTTATGTTAGTTCACTTGAAGTTGTCCTGTAACAATTAATTGTCTGTTTCCTTTAAAAAATTATTTTATTTCCTCTGGCCTCCATTTTTGGTTTGCCTTTGTTGCTATATCTTCCTAGGTTACTAGTATTTTCTTCTACATTGTCTAATCTATCATTAATCTAATTCAGTGTATTTTTAATGTCAGATATTGTCATTTTCATCTCCAGAAGTTGGATTTGGGGCTTTTAAAAATATCTTCTATGTCTACTTAACAGCTCTAGCTTAACTTTTTTATTTTTAAATTAAATTATCTTTTTTTTACTAACATCTGTTCCAGTTGTTCCTTTCATTATACATTGCATTTTTCTGCTTTTTTTGTATGCGTGGTAATTTGTTTATTTTATTCCATACATTGAGTTTTAATTTTGTATTGGACTTTTTATTTTTCTGTAAATATTTTTGAGCTCTGTTTTAGAACACAGTTACATTTCTTGAAATAATCTGATTCTTTTGTACCTAGTTTTAATCATCTGTTAGATGACAGCAGAGCAGCATTTAGTTTAGAGATCATTATTCTCCACTTGTGAGCCAAAACCCTTCTGACACAAAACACTCTTGTCCCAGTGCCCCATAAATTTTAATGTTTTTGAGTCTGGCTGGTGAAATTATACCCTATTCCTGGTCCTACAGGAAATTCAGTTACTGTTCTCTTTAATCCTTTGTATGGTTATTTTCCCAATCTCAGATGGTTTTCTCACACTTATGGTCTTGTTAATACCCTGTGAATACTGAGGGTGGGCCCTCTGAAGACCTCACAGATTCTCTCTGCCCATCTCTCTCCTCTGCTATCCTCAGCCCTGTGAACTCTACTTGCCCTTATTCTCCTCTCAGTTGTGTCTCCTTGACTGGAGGAGTTTGATAGTTTCCACCTGGATTTCCCCTCTGTGTGCCATGGCCTGGAAATTGTCTCCAGGTGGTAAGCTTGGGTTATTATACAACTTCATTTTTTCTTGTCCTTCCTTGCCTGATGTCTAATGTCTTGAAAACTGGTGCTTTATATATTTTGTCCTTTACTTTGGTTTCGCTGGAAATAGAAAGTCAATTATTTTAAAAGAGATTTTTAAAATAACACAAATACTGTTTTTTGTATTTATTACATATTTGCTAATGATATTCTATCTGTAATAGTCTGTAGTTGGTTTGTATCAGCTCATAGGACCCAGTTGTTAAATATTCAGAAATTTTGTGAACCAGTCGTTAAAAATCGTTGTTTGTTTGAATTTGGCCATGGTGGGAATGTTTATATTCATAAAATTGGTCAAAATGCTATAAATCCAGGCTTTTCCCTTTTTTCCTTTTTTTCCCTCACAGGGAGCTAGCTTACCAATTCCATCTGGACTTTTTTTCATTTTGTCTGAAAGATATCCTTTAACATTTCTTGTAGTGTATGTGTCTTCTGGCGAAGAATTATTTTAGTTTTTGTATGTCTGAGAAGTTTATTGTGCCAATGTTTTTGAAAGATATTTTCACTGGATCTAGAGTACTAGGTTAACAGGAATTTTTTCTTTAAATAATTTAAAGATGTTTCTCCACACTCTTTTGCCTGAATTGTTTCTAGTGAGATGACTGCAGTCATTCTTAACTGTGTTCATTTGTACATAGTGTGTCTTTTATTCTCTGGTTGCTCTTCAGGATTTTTCTTTAATTACTAGTTTTAAGCAATCCAGCGATAATGTATCTTGTTAAAGTGTTCTTTATGTTACTTGTGCTTGGAGTTCATGAAACTTCTTCAATCTGTGGCTTTTCCTTTTCATTAAATTTCAAACTGCTTCAGCTATTAGTTATTCAATTTCTTTTTTCTGCATTAGTCCTCCAGTTTCATAGGACTCTCAATATTAGGCTACTTAATGCTGTTCTATAGCTCACTGATGCTCTGCTCACTTTTTTAAAGTCAGTTTCTTTCTGTTTTCATCCTAGATGATTTCTATTACCTCATCTTTAAGTTTGATCTGAGATATCTAATCTGCTGTTAATCCCATCCAGTATATTATAAAATCACATTCATTGTATTTTGCATTGGAAGAAGTTTTATTTCAGTCTTTTTCAAATTTTCCATGTCTCTTCTTAACATAGGTACACTCTCTTCTATCCTGCCGAACATATTGAATATATATTTAATAGCCTTGTCTGCTAACTCCATCATGTGTATCATTTCTGGATCTGTTTCTGTTGAGTGTTTTTCTCCTCCTTATGACCCATATTTTTCTGTTTCTTTGCATATATGGCTTTTTAAAATCGGATATCAGATATTTGAATTTGATGTTTCTAGCTACTGGAGTATTTGTATCCCTTAAAGAAATTTGGGACTTTATTTTGTGATGCAGATAGATTACATAGAAACAATTTGATATTTCTGAGTCTTGTCTTGAAGCTTTGTAAGTTGTATCTAGGACAACCTTTAGTGTACAGCAAATTTGCCCTCCCGCCCTCCGTACTGGGGTGATCCGCTTCTGAGAATTCTCCTCAATGCCCTCTGTGTTAGGAGGTCTCCCACTCTGGTTGATGGAAACACTATCTGTTCCTGGTACCTTGTGGACTTTGAGATGGTTCTGCTTGATCCATCAAGTGGTCTTTCCCTGGCCTCAGGTTGTTTTCTTATATGCACTGGTCAGAGCAGTTGAAGAGTCACTGGGAGTCCGATGCACATTCCAGAGCTCTTCCCACCTACTGCTTTCTCCTCCCTGGGTCTCTTCCCTGGAATTTTAGCCATTTTGGCCTCCTCAAACCCTGAATACAAGTCTCCTTAACTCAGAAAGCCTGCCAGATGCTGTTTGGGCTTCTCCTCCCTGTAATACTGCTTGAAAAAGGCTATAAACTGGGGCTATCACAGAGTTCACTTTATTCATTTCACTTCTCTCAAGGATCACGGTCTTGAGCCATCTGTTGTCCAGTGTTTTATATATTTCATGCATTTTAATTGTTTCAGGTTTGAGGGTAAATTCAGCCTCTGTTACTCCATCATAGAATTCCCTCAGACACAGACATGTTAAGCTTTAGGAAATTTTACTGTAACCTATCTTCATGCATTCTCTTCCTCTCCCTTTAGGTTCATCTTCTTACTATTCTTCCCTGATGTCCTGTACTTTCAGCCTCTGTCCCCTTTGGTCATTTCTGCACCATTCATCCTTTCTTGCCTTTAAATGTCATTTTTATCAGTCTAAAACCCTATGCCTTCTCAAGGACCATCTCAGAGTCCGTCTCTTACATGAAAGTTACACTGAGCCTTGTACCTGTAAGTAATCTCTTTCATAAACAAACTTGTTTGGGCTTATTCTGTCTGGGTTTCGCTAAGCTTTCTGGATCTGTAGGTGGATATTATTTATCATGTATGAAACATTTTGGCCACTATTTTAAAAATAATTGTTTTCTGCCACCACTTTCTCTCCTTTATATTGAAGACTCCAGTGATATGTGTGCTAGGCGACTTGATGTTGTTTGAGAGTTCCCTGAGACCTCTTCCAGTTTTTGTAGCTGTTTAGCATTATTTCCCCCTCTCTTGTTTTGAGTTTCTGTTGTCCTGATTTCATGTGCATAGACATTTATCCCATAGTGTCTACTCCAATTTAAGCTTATCTAGCAAAATTTTCATTTCAGATATTTTTCAGATCTAGAAGTTCTACTTAGCTTTTTTATAGTTTCTGTTTCTTTCTTCATTATGTTATGTTTTACTATAAATCCTTGAACATATTTAATAATAGCCATTTTAATATAATAGCTATTTTTAAGTCCCATTATTTTGATTCACCATCTCTGTCATTTCTGGGTTGATTTCAATTGCCTAATGTTACTACTTAGTATAGACACATTTTCCAGCTTCTAAGTATATCCCATAATTTCTCACTGGATGCTCAACATTATGTTACTTTGTTATTGTCTGAATTTTGTTTTCTTCTCTCAAAGAGTGTTGAGCTTTATTGTAGTGGGCAGTTGACTTGCTTATAGGTCAACTTGTCTGCTTTTCCTTTCAAGGGCTCTTCCAAGCTTTGTTAGGGTTAATGGATGGTAGACTTATTCTATGTCATTTGAGTCCTACTCTAAGTTATGGGCTTCCTGGGATACCTGTTAAATATTCCAGGTATTCAACAAAGCTATTCTGATTGCTCAGAGCTGTCTCTCTCTTGGCCTTGACCAAGATCTAGTAATTATTCATACTGTAGTTCACCAGCAGTTGTTAATTCCCCAGTATTTATTCTTTGCCTGTCCCTGTGGAATTTCATCCAATGGATGCCAGCTTAGTATTTACCCAAAGACTCAATGAGACTGCATGAAAATTGTGGGGCTCTTTCCGTGCATGGCCTCCTCTTCTCTGAGCTGTGTCCGCAGCTCAGTAAGAATTTCAGGGTGCCGTGCTCTGCTTGGGTCCTCTTGTGTGCACAGCAACCCAGGAAATTCTGGGTAGAAAACAGAAATGATCATAGCATGCAGCTCGTTTGTTTCCTTTCTTGTATGGATCACAGTCTTGTGCCATCTATTTTCCAATATTAGAAAACAATTATCTCATGTATATTGCCCAGTTTTCTAGGTGTTTATTACTGGAGTGTATAATGGATTGAATTATATCTGCCACCCCCCCACCACCCCAGTAAAAGATATGTTGACATCCCAACCCTCAGTACCTCACAATGTGACTCTGTTTGAAAATAGGGTCCTTGCGAGTGTGACTAGTTAAGATGAGGTCATACTGGAGTACTGTGGACTCCTAATATGACTGATGTGCTTGTAAGACGACAGCTGTGGGAAGACAGAAACACGCAGGGAAAATGCCATGTAATGCCAAAGACAGTTTCAAGTTATATAGCTGCAAGCTAAGGAATGTCAAAAATTGCCAGCAAATCACCAGAAACTAGGAATAGGCAAGGAAGAATTTCCTTCCAGGTTTCAGAGGGAGCATAGCTCTCTTGATACCTTGATTTTAGACTTCCAGGCTCCAGAACCATGAGACAATAAATTCTGTTGTTTTAAGTCACCCAGTTTGTGGTACTTTATTACAGCAGCTCAAGGAATATTATACAATGGACAGATTGAGAATTTCCTTCATCTTAAGTGGAAGCAGAAGTTCCTAACTCTTTTAGTATTTGTCATCTGAACTACTTTTCTTTTACTTCCTCCAATAGATAAGTTATTAGAAGGCAAATATTACTTCTTAATTTTCTGTTTTCCACCTATCTAAGCTTGAATTTTATGTGCATGTAAGCTAGATGTGAAATTCATGGGCATCAAATAGGGGTGGGTAAAATATAATTTTGTTTTCTACAATTAAAATTATTCTATATCTAGATCCCTGTTGCATTGGGGTATACATGATTAATTCAGGGATTTCTCAGACAATTCATGCTTTTCTCCCTTTCTTTTTCTCCCCGGGTGGTATCTAAATTCCAGGGCGCGTTAAAAGCGCTTATCAAAGCATTGTGGGGAAGGTACTTAGTCTTTGGTCATCATTTAACTTTCCTTCATGACTCTCATTTGCATGGTCATCAACACTTGTCCCCACTGATATCTGCTGACCCTCGGTGCGTCTTTCTGTCCTTGAGGTTGTGTTGATCCACGGCGGGTACATTGTGCCTTACACATTTCAAACACGGTGTCTCTTCAGGCTTGATGGCTTCTCTCAGTTAATCTGTTTTCCTTTGAGTGAGAAAATGGCTATTCCTGATCTATCCTGAGATCTTTGGGGATTGTTGGAGACTACCTCAGGTCCCTCTGTTAAGATACATTCTAGAGCCATGTATTTTTTCCACTGCTGCTCTAATAAATTACTACAGACTTAGTGGCTTAAAATAACACAAACTTATTATCTTACAGTTCTATAACTCTGAAATCTGTCATAGGTTTCACCAAGTTAAAATCAAGATGTCAGCTAGGCTGCATTCTTCCCTGAGGGCTCTAGAAGATAACCCATTTCCTTTCTTTTTCTAGCTTCTAGAAGCCCCCTTCATTCCTTAGCTCATGCCCCCTTCTACCTCCAAGGCCAGCAGCATGGCATTTCTTGCCTGCTTCCATGTCCGCATCTCTTTCTTTGGCTCTCTTCTGCTTCCCTCTTCCATGTTGAAGGACCCTTATGATTGTATGGGGCACACCTGTATAATTCTGACTACTCTCCCTGTTTTAAGGACATCCAATTAGGAACCTTAATTCCATCTTCAAACTTAATTCCCCTTTGCCATGTAATCTAACACATGCACAGTTTCTAGGGATTAGAATGTGGACATCCTTGGGAGCCATTATTCTGCTGACCACAAGTCATTTCTACTTACCAGTCTCTAGCCAGTATGACATGTAGGGACCCAGGACCTTGTTCATCTCATTCTGGAAATAAGCACAATTTTCCTCTGCCGTCAAAACTTTTGAATTTTCATTTCTTCTCTCTCCACCTCTCTCTCATCCCTTTCCTTGATCAGGATGTGGATAAGAAGAGGTAAGTCACAATTCAGGGCATTCAGGAGCATCTCACTGGCTGACTCTCCCTTCTTTCCATTAGCCCAGGTAATTTTAAACTCTTCTGTAGAGGAACAAATAGGCTTTGCAAGCATCCTCCATTCCTATTATATAGGAATATATACTAGTTTTAAAATTAAAAAGATGAGTTCATTCTTATTGCCATTTTCTTCATGTATAAAGCTTTCTCTTGTTGGCAGTGATTCATTAAGAATCTAGTATGGACGGAAAAAGCCGAAGATGGTAACAAAAAGATTTGAAAAGAGGCTTGCCAGAGAGATGGACACGTTAAGATGACCAGGACATGTTAAGATGACAGTTACAGCCAGCTTTCAATTCCGTAGGACACCTCCAGACCTAGGCCAGATGTGCGGCCAGGCCTCTCCCATTTGTAGATGTACTGCCACAGAGCAGAGGGATCATAGCCCCATCCTCTTTTCAATACATGAATGACTTAAATGACTGAATAACTGAACAGTATTGCAGATGGGGATGGAGACTGAGGAGATTTTTTTAAAGGCATCAGCCATATGGAAGGAGCTTCCAGCTACTGAGCTGTGACAATGATCAGGAGCCAGGAGCCAGCTGGTTACTCTGATCTGACTGATACATCTCTTCACCCTCCAATCTGCTGCAACATCTCTAAGAAGGAGGATTACATTGCTCTCTACATGTGGTAATGACACTGAGCCGATGCAGCTGATGAGTGAAGTCAGGTCTCATGCGATATGCTGGTGTTAAAGACTGCCAGCCAAAGGAAAACATGATGTGGTACCCTTGAGAGCAAGAGCAATTCTCATTCTTTCTCCCTGTATCTCCCATCACCCTCTGTCCACTTTCTCTCCACCCCCTGTCCACTTTCTCTCCACCCCATCCCCACTCAGGACTAAATAAAAATTTCAAAGGCAAAGAGGAAAGAGAACAGAAATGGAAAGAAAGGGAGGAACAGGTTATGTGTGCACATATTTATTTTGGCCTCACTCCCTGCAATCCTAATATGCACAGATATTATATTATCAGATTTATTAAAAACTGAGATTGAACAACTGTAGAACAGCCAATGAAAACTGCTCTTGCGTTGGCTATAGCTATTTTTCATCATATGTTCCAAATGTTCACTGCAAGCAAACTACATTTACCACTTGGTTTATCATTTAAATAAATGTTATAAGAGGATTAATTCCATTTAGAAAAGAGAAAAAACAAAACATTCCCCTATACATATGGTGTATTCAAATGCAAACAAAAAAATGTGCTACAGCCGAAACTGTCAGGAGCAAGAACCCCAACATTAACTTGGAATTGTGTTACTGTAGCATCAGCAACAACAACAAACATATGACATCACTAGGCCCTGATGAAATGGGAAAGTGTTACAGATGCTTTATTTGCTTAAGGCTGATTCTCCCTGTTCAGCCGCTTTTACAGCTTTCTTTCCTGGGTTCTCGTCTCCAACCACTGCACCACATCCAACACAAACTGAGTAATTGTTCTGAATATGAATCCTTCAGAGGACAGAGCATGGCAAAGACAGAGGGAAGAGGAGTTTCCAAGGGTGTGCTGGTGTCCTCCAGGCATCTCAAGGTCCTAAGTCCCAGTTCAGCAGAATGACGTTTTAGCAGCTACCTAGCAGATTCCCACGCTTAGCTATTATGAATCCTTAGCTATTATGAATTGGTGGCTTGACTGTGTTTTTTGTGGCTCTGTGGTCCCTTCAGCCCCCACTTTTCACCACATCCCATTGTAAATCTCCCAATCTTTGCTGCAGACATAGGCTTTTCCTAGAGTCAAGAAAAGAAAAGAAAAAAATAAAAAAGCCAACACGTATAAGAGTGCCTGCCTGCAGTGCACCAGGCAAAATGCATCTTTCAACAATTTTTAGGTATCGTCATCATTATTTTCATTTTACAGATAAGAAAATTGAGAATGAGGGTTTGCTTGAGAGTTCCCAAGCCAGCAAGAAACAGAGCTGCAAAATGAACCCAAATCCATATGATTCCAAGGCTCTGTGATGTTTCCTGTTATTCATGTTGCATTTAGAGGATAAATTAGATCTAGTTGGGCCATTAGAGGCACGTGGAACAGATTCCAACTTTGATCAATTCAGGAGTTAATTCTGCCTGTCCAGGTCTCAAAACCTGTCTGCCAGGGATGAAGATTATGCAGACGATCCCTTGTTTGGCTGTCATAGAAGCTTCCTGCCCTTAGAACTGAGCATTTCTGCTTTGATTACCCCAAAATACCTGAATCTCTTGAGCCCTATCCTTTCATCTCCCAGGTAACATGTCTAGCTCTAGTTTCCAATTTCAGATAAACTAAAATCCTTTTTCATCCTTCTATCAGTATCACAGTTTCTCTGAAGGTTTCCCAGGCTTCTGATGTCTCCTAGGGGAGCTAGAGAGTTACCTCTAGTTTACAGGTAAACAATGAGTCATTAAATATATTTACATACCAGGATGTCAGCAGAAATGCAAAGAAGATACCAAGTGCAGAGTACAGCTGGTTCCCAGGGAGGCCAGGGGTGATTCATCACACTCTTAAAACAAGACTAGCCTCGTTTCCTCCCCAGCTCAAGGGGTAGATTCCTCTGCTCTGGCAGCAGATCTCCCAGAGGGAGCGGCCTGACCACGTCACTGGCCCAGAAGAGGAGGCGTCTGTCCCCCACACTAGCTGCAGGAAAGGCTGGCTTGGATGATGCTCTGCTCTCCCCTTGCCCTTCTCCTGGGCACTTTCTTCGGTGGGTGCCCTCCTCTCCGGCAAGCCTCTTTTCTCATCCTCACCCTCACCGCAATCCTGTGAATGCAGAGTTTGAGCTGTTGAGTCTACAAACTCAGGTTTGACACTCCTGAGTCTATTCCTCTGATAGTCTGGAACAGATATGGGGCTTCAGCCTTAAGGGCTGATCTGATGATTCTTGGTTCTCTCTGTCTCCTGGGAAGGAGTTGGTTGTGTTGGTCTTCCCTGGCCCAATGATGCTTTGCATCCTTGGCTCCCCCAGTCTATTCCCCATGGTGGATTCCAGGTGCCTGTGCCATGCAAGAGCTTGAGCTGCCCATCTGTCTGGGGAAGGCAAGCCAGGCTGGGGCGCTCCTCCGTAAATGGCACTTTATCTTTCCCACAGGGATCAGATCTCAGACTGTTCATCAATGGCCAGCAACCCTGGTGCAGCCTGTGGGCAGCCCGCTCTCTCTGGAGTGCACTGTGGAGGGAACATCAAACCCCAACCTATACTGGTACCGACAGGCTGCAGGCAGGGGCCTCCAGCTGCTCTTCTACTCCATTGGTGTTGGCCAGATCAGCTCTGAGGTGCCCCAGAATCTCTCAGCCTCCAGGCCCCAGGACGGGCAGTTCATCCTGAGTTCTAAGAAGCTCCTCCTCAGTGACTCTGGCTTCTATCTCTGTGCCTGGAGTGTCACACTGAGCTGGGTGGGGCAGACATCTGTGCAAAAACTCCACCCTCTGCTGAGCCCTAACCATTGTCCCCAGGAGCCCTCACCCAGGGACTGCGTGGAGGATATTTGTAACTAGGTTTCTGACTGCTGGCCCATGTGAAAGCAATGGAATGAAGCTAGAATTCTACAAAAGACTCTAGTACTAAAGTTCTCAGGGAGAACAAAAAATTGTATGTGTGCAGAACCTGTGATTTGCCTGCACATAGTCAAGTTCTCAATGTATGGATGTCCAGGCTTAGGCTACCATACTCCAGCCCTCAAGGTGTGCTATACCTTGCCTGGTTTTCTCGTCTTCCAAATTCCTCTGTGTGCCCTGGGGAGGGGGTTTGTGCATATATGGCTGAGAGAAATAGGATATACCTGTGGCAGGAGGTGAGCTGGTGAACAAACAGGAGGATGCCAACTCAGGTTACTGAATTGGTTAATTTCATCACCTGGAGAGTCTCCTGTCATTGATCTTTCTGCTGAGACTAGAAATTCTGGGGAGGCTTAGACCTGAAGCTTTGACTAAGGCAAAGAGGCAAGATGTTCAGGAGACTGTTTTTATTCGAGGCTGAAGTGTGGTTTTGTTAGTATAGGAAACATGCGCTTAGGCCAGACGTGGTAGCTCACGCCTATAATCCCAGCACTTGGGGAGACGGAGGCAGGAGGATCACCTGAGGTCAGGAGTTCGAGACCAGACTGGCCAACGTGGTGAAACCTGTCTCTACTAAAAGTACAAAAATTAACCGGGTGTGGTGGCAGGCGTCTGTAATCCCAGCTACTTGGGAGGCTGAGGCAGGAGAATCACTTGAACCTGGGAGGTGGAGGTTGCAGTGAGCCAAGATCATGCCACTGCACTCTAGCCTGGGTGACAGAGCGAGACTCTATCTCAAAAAAAATAAAATAAAATAAAATAAAAATAAACATACACTTAGAAATTTTGATGGTGTTTTAGGTTTTAGGTTTTAAAAACTGTCCTGTTGTACTATCTTCTAGCCCTTCCTTTGTAGCAAAGACAGACAGATGGTGATCCAAGAGATACGCAAGAAGAGGACTGTGTGTGTAATGGCTGAGCTCTAAAAAAGAGAAATCACTTGGATGGAAATGAAGGAGAGGAAAGGGTTGATGTGGATGGCTCGAAAGAGGTTCGATGGTTACCTTGGCAACTGAGCTTCCTTCCTCATCCCCATCCCTCCCTAGTTCTTGCTCTTAAAAAGATTTTCTTTCTAATGTCCCTTCCCCTCCACAAGGGGGCACAAGATGTCTTAAAATACTCTATTCTGGGCATCATTTAACCTAGATCAATCCAGACGTGTGCATATTTCTAGTATCATTTAATCTGAAGTGGAAAATCTGAGACGTAGACACAGAGTGATCAAGAACGTATGGAATAATGCCCAAGGGTTCCTATTGAGCTTTAAGGATCAGCTATGTATTAAGCAGCTATTGTGTGCTGGACCCAGTGAGCCATTTTGAGGGTTATTAAAAATATATATATATATACTTGAGATAGTGTTGGGCATAGTCATAGCATGATTTAGTCAAAGCACTTGATTTTTTAAGTCTAAATTTGCTAGTTGTTATGAACTTGACCTAGTTATTTAATCTTATTAGCTTTCAAGTTTTCCCCCTCCTATAAAACATGCCTCATTGAATTGTTAAGTGTATTAAATAAGATGGTGTTTATAAAGTCCTATTACAGGCTCTAATTTTCAACAGGTATTATTTTCCTCTCCTTAAACTTACAAGATTATTTTCATTACAACTTACCCAAGAGGAAGACTTATTTAACAAATTTCAAATCATAAACTACAGGTGTGTAATAAATATTAATATTTAAAATGCTAAACATGCTTGGATGGCAAAACCACGAAACTTGAACCCTATGCTGTGCCTATGCAGGTGCTGATTCTGTAGGGGCTTTATGAAGCTTCAGAATCCTTCTTAATAGAGAAATGTCTCAGGCAATCACCACTAGTCAAGTAGAGCTAGTAGAGACTTGAGGCAGATTTTCCCTTCCTGTGATATGCTGCAAAAATTCTGGAAAACTTCACAAAGGACATACAATTGTAGCTAGGTTTAGCTCTTTAGGAGGCTAACAGTTATATAAGCAAAATGACATTGCAAGCAAGAGAGTCAGTTTGTGTAGAAATGTGCAGGTCTGTGTGAATATTGTAAGTTTTAGAGAATTTGAAGAAAAAGAAGTCCTGATCATTGCACACAGCATCCTCCAGACAGGTGAGCATTGAGGGAGAGGCTTGAAAGCCACCTAAATTCATCAGAACAAATTAACATCCTCCATGTTATCTGCTCTTATTCATGTGTGGCTGTTCATTCCCATAACTGTTTCCATACCATCTAGGACTCAGAAATCCACAGTCGTTATAATTCCAGGGGACAAAGGAAAGCAGTTTAGGATGGCCGATCCTGTTCAGACGTGCCATCTCTTGCCAGGAATTCATGAAACTCACTTGCCCCTTTAATCAGATGAGGCTGTCTCTTTTCTAGGAGAGCTTCCAGGATTTGCATCTGATTTTGCAGATGTGCCAGGATGACTATGTCCATACGTCTACTTCCCTGGCCAGTTGCACATGGAAGATTCAGGGCCACATGCTGGTGGCCAGAGGCACTGTCCCCAAGATGCTTCACATAGATCTCAGCCACCCACGGGACTTATAAGGAGATACCCTTTGGGCCTCTAAATAGATCTCAGCCACCCATGGGACTTACAGGGAGTCACCCTGGGGCCTCTGGACAGTTTGAGGAAGATGAGGAATGCCCAGGGTTGGGAAGCTGGTAACACTAAAATTAGGCAACTTCTTATTTTTGCCCAGGAGTCTGTGGTTTGGGGTAAGAATGCTACAATCCCTTGAGCTCCTGCAGAGCAGGCTTGACCTATTATATACCTAGTAATTTTCCACTCCCTACTTTGGGGGTTTCTGTATGTCTAGTTTTTCATTCTGTCTTGCATTATGTTCTTCTAAGATGTGTTAGAAAATACTCATCACACAGACCTTACAGGCTTTAGCAACTAGAGGATAAAACTACAAGGAGCCAGTCAATGCAGTGCACAAACACTGGCTCAGACATGCAGGGACTGTCCGTTTTGCAGTCTGTTGGTTATCTAGGGCTCTCTCTCCTGTGACTCATCAGCACCTCTCATTACATGAGTGGAAGGAAGTGGGAGGATGCAAGTGGAGGGAGGTGGAAGGGAGTTTGGGGGGCAGGTGGGAGGAGAGAGTTGCCTGAGTGATGTGGGACCAAAAGGAATCCCAATTGGGTCAGAGCAGTTATTGCAGCTGTTTTTCATTCTCCACTATCTTCATGGTGCCCACTGTGGCCTTTGATCTTGTGCATAACCTCCAGCAGGTGTAAAGATGTGCTGGGGGAGGGGAGGCCTGCACATGGATCTGGGATACCTAGATTCCCCTCTAGAGACCCTGTCCCCTCCCCTCTGAAGTTCTACTTCCACTGCCAGGATGCTAACCAGGGGCCCAGGTAGAAAGAGCAGCATAGGAGGGGGTTGGGTGCCGGATGCGGTGAGTGTGGTTCTCATGATGCTCTGAAGGAGGGTGGGTGGAGGGAGTGACTTTCACAGGCACCCCAGATGTAGGGACCAGTAAATGTCAAACCACATCCTGTTGTGACTCTAAGAGATGGAGCTAGGGCAGGTGGCTGTTGTGGCTTGGTGCTGATATTACTCAGAGATAAACAGCCCGGCAGCCAGCACTGGGCTCAGAACCCCCATTCCTACCCCAGTTGTCAGCTATAACCTAAAAGACCCCAAACTACATCTCATTACTTCCTACCTTTTGATTCAGGGCCACTGTCCTTTTTAACACAATTTGTCATTCATGATCCTAGACCTCTTTGCTGGAGGAGGGCCAGGGAACGGGTATCAGGGCTCCAGGTGACTCTTTCTAACTATGAGACTCCAGTGCCAGTGCTGTCCCCTTCCACCATCAGACTATCTGAGACTATGTCACAGATATGTATGATTTGAGGCCAGGAAGAGCTCAGCTTCTCTGAGTTACCATCCGCTTGGTACTTCAGAGACCGCAGGCTTTGAATCAGAGAATCTGAAGAGCAGAGTTTGAAGATTCTTAGATATCACTTTACCCAATGTCCTTATATCACAGAGGAGGACATATAAGCCTAGAGAATAAAAATGAGTTGTTCAGCGCCATGCAGCTGGGGCCAGAGAAGAACCAGAAGCTAATTCTCTGTGTTTTAGCAGCTCCTGGACTTCAGACAAGGCTTGAGGAATGCGGGTTCCATGTCGAGCTGTGATCTAGCTATGAATTTTATGAATCACTCATATAAGAATAAATCAGGCAAGTTGATCATATATGAGATGGCATGAGGATAGAGGAATAAATATAATGAATCACAAAATTAGAATCCTGCAGAATCTTGATAGGTTGGAGAGATAAGCTGAATAAACATGATAAACATTCTCTCCCTCCTCCCCCACCAAACAGAGAAAACCAACTATATGAACACAGGAAGGGGAATATGTGGCTCACAAGAAGAGTATGTGAAGAACACCCAGGGGGTGAGTCAAAGTGAGCTCTGTGAGTCAACGG